ACCCCAACCCCTTAAGTAATTTTTTTAACCAAACTCCTCTATCACTTTGTCAGAATATCAAACCTAAATCTAAGGAGTCCTCTAGCTACATCCGTCCAGTGTGCTGAAACACAGGGGACATAAAAAAATTATTTTAAATGTTGCACACCTATAATCCCAGTGACTCAGGAGGCTGAGGCAGGAGGATCACAAGTTCAAAGCCAGCCTCAGTAATTTATCGAGGTGCTAAGCAACTCAGTGAGACCCTGTCTCTAAATTAAATACAAAAAGGAAAAATAATTAATTAATTAATTAATTATAAAAAAGGGCTGGGGATGTGGCTCAGTGGTTGAGTGCCTCTGAATTCAATCCCCAATATCAAAATAAAAGGGGAGGGGATTATGTTAAATGATACTTCAGGGATGTAACCTATAAAATCCAAACTTTAGGAATATGTACAAGACAAACATCTCAGTATCTTCAATCAAAAAAAGACAGCAAGTCAGGAATGGTGCACATCAGTAATCCCAGCTACTTGGGAGGCTAAGGCAGGAAGATCACAAGTTCAAGCCCAGAGCAAGACCCTGTCTCAAAATAAAAAATTAAAATGGACTAGAAAAGTAGTTCAGTAGTATAGCACCCCTGGGTTCAATCCCATGTACCAAAAGAGAGAGAGGGTAATGACAGCAACTTTTTTAAATGAACTAGATGATACCCACAGATTGGTTTTGTTATTGTTGTTACTTGCAGTACTGAGGATTATCTGGGTGCTCTGCCACTAAACTGCATCCTGGCCACCCTCCCTCCACCTTTTTTTTTTTTTTCATAGGAGGGATTGAATACAGGGGAACTTAACTACTGAGAAACATCCCCAGCCCTTTTATATTTTTAATTTTGAGACAGGGTCTTCCTATGTTGCTTAGGGCCTTACTGAATTACTGAGGTTGTCTCTGAATTTGTGAACCTCCTGCCTCAGCCTCCCAAGCCACTGGAATTATAGGCATATACCACATTCAACTCCAGCCCCTTTTATTTTTATTTTGAGACAGGGTCTTCTAGTCATATAAAATTCCTGATCAGAAATTTGCACCCATGGAGCCCATTCCCAGGGGGAAAGGAGGACTACTCTGCATGGATCAAAGCTCCCACATTCAGTGTTGTCCGGGCCCCATGACTCTGTGCTGTAGGTCACATGCCACCATTCATTAGTAACATGTATTGAATAAGCACTTGCATTGTACTGGGCACTAGATATAATTAAGGGAAATAATGCATGAGTTTGAAGTGAGACTGGAGTCAGAATCAGCAAACTCAAATTAGGACAATTACTTTAAAGCCATAAAGATATTGATATGACTGGTCAGTATGAGAAGTACCAAGCAAGGGGTTAGGATGGAAGGAGTGTGGATTTTAGGTAGCATATTTATAGTATGAGCAAAAATAGATAGCAGAGATGAACATGGCAGATATGATCTGAAGGTGTGATTGTGCGGTACTGGGGATAAGGTTGTATAGATGGGCCAGGGCCAAGTCATGGTAAATCCAGGCAAAAGACTGTAATCCTCTTTTTTTTTTTTTTTCTTTTTTTGCCTTTTCTCTCTTTTGGTCTGGGGATTGAACCCAGGGGTGCTCTACCATTGAGCCACATCCCCAGCCCTATTTTGTATTTTATTTAGAGACCATGTCTCACTGAATTGCTTAGCACCTCACTTTTGCTGAGGCTGGCTTTGAACTCATGAGCCTCTTGCCTCAGCCTCCTGAGCCACTTTGATCACAGGCATGTGTCACCACACCTGGCCCGCAGTCTTCTTAAAGTAAATGTTAGACCATCCTTGTAGGTACCTGAGTAGAAGAGGAGTGACCTGACAAAATCATGACTATTCAAATTAAATTTTATATAATCTGAGAGGCTGATCAACTATATGCAAAATGTCCTTAAGAATGTTTATTCTCTGAGGTTCTATTTCTTGATTAGGTGTTAGTGACATTGTTGTCTTTGCTTTGTGAAAATTCAGCAAACTGTACACAAGTGGCTTGTGTATTTTTTCATATGTATGTTACATTGAAAAAGATTTCCTTGCCAGGTGCCATGCCACATGCCTATAATTCCAGTGGCCTGGAAGGCTGAGGCAGGAGGATCACAAATTCAAGGCCAGTCTCAGCAACTGTCTCAAAATAAAAAATAAAAAGGGCTGGGGATATAGCTCAATGGTAGAGCACCCCTGGTTTCAATCCCTAATACCACACCTAATAGGGTGTGAGAGTGCTCCATTGGGACCACTGGACATATTACATGTACATATTTGTGAACTCAGATTGTTATTACATACTTGCATGAGCTCACACCTAGTAGATCTAAGTTAGAAGTATTTAGGTTCCTAGCCCAGTGTGGTGGTGCATGCCTGCAATCCTAGTAGCTCAGGAGCCTGAGGCAGGAGGATTACAAATTCTAGGCCAGTATCAACAATTTAGTGAGGTTCTAAGCAACTTAGCAAGACCTATCTCAAAATTAAAAAATTAAAAGGGCTGGGATTGTGCCCCAGTGGTATAGCAACCCTGGGTTCAATCTTCAATCCCCAGTATCCCCCCAAAAAAAACCTTTAGATTTCTGATAATCAGTTTAACAAGATTTCTTTATAGAAAATGATAAGTACTTCATTCTTCTTAAGATGGTACTTCCTGAATATCTTGGCCATAATAGACTTTTTTTAGTTTACATACATTCCTTATATATTATAAATTGAAAAAATCAACAGGACATTACCATTTTTCAAATACAAGCAGAAATTCTTTAGATTTCTATCTAAGCCAGGTATACTGGCACACACATGTAACCGCAGCAATTTAGGGGGTTGAGGCAGAAGGATCACAAATTCAAGGCCAGCCTCAGCAACTTAGCAAGACCCTGTCTCAAAATAAAAAGGGTGGAGATTTGGCTCAGTGGTAAAGTGCCCCTGGGTTCAATCCTCAGAACCAAAAAACAGTGCCTGCAGATGTAGCTCCATGGTGGAGAGTTGGCATAATATCAAATGAGGCCCAGAGTTTAATCCCCAGTACCAAAAAAAAAAAAAATAGTAATAATAAGCTAGACACACAAAACTTCCTATCTAGATACAGTGATTATAGAAATCATATGTCAGCACTATTCTGCATCAGGATAAAAAGGATAATTTCACTGGTTGTATTCCTCTATGTAATGTTAGAATGTTAATTAACTATTGAAATGCAAGTTTTCCATCAGCTGAATATAAAATCCCAGTTTAGTAAATCATTTCTTTGATACATAAAATTTCATAAGAAAGCAACCTGACAGTAGAATAGCAATCTGTTGAAAGCTGCTTCAATGTGTAACATAGTAATAAACCTTTATGAAAATGTGTCCCCAGGTATGCTGGTATCCTCCTGGGCATCACGAATACATTTGCCACTATTCCAGGAATGGTGGGGCCTGTCATTGCTAAAAGCCTGACCCCTGATGTAAGTAGACATTTTGCTTATAAACTGAAAAGATTTGGGAATTATGCCTTTGTGTCAGAGTTGAGTATATTTTAATGGTAGAGTTCTGAATGTTTATTTTATTTCTTTTCTTTGTGGTGTTAGTGATTGAACTCAGGC